GGGCGGGGGCGGGGCGGCGGGTCCCGGGCTCCGGCCTGCGGAGGAGCGGCCCGGAGAGGCGCCTGGGAGCCGGGCGCAGCCCTGAGCTGGGGGCCAGGACTCTGGGACCCCAGACAGGGCCTGGAGGGTGCCGTGGTGGAAGCGGCACCCTGACCCCCCGCCCACCACCTCACAACCCCAGGATGCTCCCCTTCGCCTCCTGCCTGCCGGGATCTCTGCTACTCTGGGCGCTGCTGGTGTTGTTCTTGGGGGCAGCGTCTCCCCAGGATTCGGAGGAGCCGGACAGCTACACGGTGGGGACGCTGGGGCCCCTGGCCTGGGACGGGCTGGTGCGGGACACAGACAGGATCCCCGGGTGGCTGTGGCTGGAAAGGTGCTCCCCTCTGCTTTGGTGGAGCTGCGGGGCCATTGTTTAGAGCAGGCCAGAAGCGGGGGGCCTGAGCTTGGAGGGAACCAGGGTGATCACTGGCCACTTCTGGTCCCCTTCCAGGAATGCACAGATGGCTACGAGTGGGACCCGGACAGCCAGCACTGTCGGGGTGAGTGTGCCGCGGGCAGCTGACTCTCTCTCCAAGAGTACAGGGAAGGGACAGCCCCACCTCTAGAGTGGCTTTGGGGGACCTAGTGCCTTTCTGCAGCCTAGCCCTGCTGGGCCCCAGCCAACTCTGGGTCTCTGGGGGCAGTTCAGAGAGGAATGGAGGAGTCATCCAGGGCCCCTCCTTCTCTGGGAAGCCCACGAAACCCTCCCCCACCCCCAGTAAGCAAGAGAGCAACAGGGCACAGCCCCGAGCCAGCTGCTGAGCCCTGGTTCCACTCTGACCTGCCCTCCTGTCCCCTGACAGTCCCAGAAGGCCATGTCCAAGGGGTTGTCCAGGGCCTGCATGGCACTCCCCGGGGAAAGACAGAAGCCTGCTTGGAGGAAGGAGAAAGGCCCCGTGGGAGCAGCAGGCCTGCTTCCAGTACTGGTGGCAGTGTAGGGGCCTTGCTGAGGGCACACAGCCTGTGGAAGGCCGAGCCAGGCTCCTGCCCCAGCCCTAGGGCCAGGCCGGGAGACGGGCTGTGCACAGTGACCTCTTTGCAGATGTCAACGAGTGCCTGACCATCCCAGAGGCCTGCAAGGGCGAAATGAAGTGCATCAACCACTATGGGGGTTACCTGTGCCTGCCCCGCTCGGCCGCCGTCATCAACGACCTGCACGGGGAGGGATCCCCACCTCCACTGCCCCCTGCTCCACACCCCAACCCCTGCGCTCCAGGCTATGAACCTGACGAGCAGGAGAGCTGTGTGGGTGAGTGTGTGTGTGTGTATCAACCTGAAGCTTCTAGTCCCAACTTTCACCAAGCACCCAGCATGGTATTTGTGGTCCTCCGTTCCTCCAGCATCGCCCATGGCTCCCAGGGGCCTCTAGAATAATATCCAGACCATATTCAAGACCCTCACTGTGGCTGAGTCCTGTCACATAGTCCCAGTCAGCTCCTGGGACCTCGCAGCCTATGTCCCTTGTGCCTTCCTGATGTGGTTCCCACCCTTGGGACTCATGGGCCTTGGAGGAAGAAGAGGGTCGGTCCAGACATCAGTGCTCCCAAAAGCTTCAGGCAGAGACATTCCCATTGACCCCTGATCTGGAGTCACACTTGTTTGTGATGCTGAGGAACAAACTGTGTGCACCTGTGTGATGGCTGACTGTCCTCCCACCATGAGGGGTCTGTCTTGTTGGGGACACAGGGCTCCTGGCAGGGACTAAGCAGTGTCACCAACAGATGTGGACGAGTGTGAACAGGACTTGCATGACTGTCGCCCCAGCCAGCAGTGCCACAACCTGCCTGGCTCCTACCAGTGCACATGTCCTGATGGCTACCGCAAGATTGGGCCCGAGTGTGTGGGTAAGGCTTCACCCTGGCACCTGACCACCCCAGCCCACTCCCAGGGAGAATTGGATTCGCTCCAGCCCCCTGACATCTCTGCTATCTTGCCCACCACACACAGCAGTCTGGATGGTATAAGGGGTCCTGACGCCGTGGCCCTGGCCAGTCTCCCAGACAGGCTGGCCTGTGTCTGACTTCCACCCCTCACCCTGTTTCCTGTCTCCATCCCAGACATCGATGAGTGCCGCTATCGCTACTGCCAGCACCGCTGCGTGAACCTGCCTGGCTCCTTTCGCTGCCAGTGTGAGCCCGGCTTCCAGCTCGGGCCCAACAACCGTTCCTGTGTGGGTGAGGCTGGGCCAGGCCAGACTCCTGACTTGGGCAGGGAGGCAGGGATGTGGAGCCCCTATCCTGATCAGCTTTGGTCAGGGGGACTCTGACTGCTCCTCTGCTCTCACTCCTCCCATTTTTGCTGGTGCCCCCAGATGTGAATGAGTGTGACATGGGGGCCCCTTGTGAACAGCGCTGCTTCAACTCTTACGGCACCTTCCTGTGTCGCTGTCACCAGGGCTATGAGTTGCACCGCGATGGCTTCTCCTGCAATGGTGAGACTTCTGCTTCTGTTGAGGGTTCCTCCACTGGGTCCTCTAACCCTGCTTCTTGTCACACAGTCCCCTGTCTGACACCTCCATGTCCCATCCACGCTGTACCCACATCCCTGCTGAGGGCCCACCCCTGGATACTTACAAGGCCTTTAAAATCTTGCTCCCAGGACCTCCCACCCTGGGGCGAAGCACAGGAGGGAATAGTAGGTCCCCACTAATGCTCACTGGGGAAACTGAGCAAAGATAGTGGGCTCCCACCCCTCGCGAGCCAGGGCCCCACATTCGAATCCAAGTCACTCTTCACTCTGAGTCTGTTTCTTCCTCCATAAAATGTGTTGTCTTGAGAATTAAGTGGAAAAATGAAAGTGGATGTGGGCTTTTTCAAGTCTTTGTAGCAACACTGAAAACAAAACCAAAATAATCTGTTGCCATTAAATGGATTCCAATGCATCGCAACCCTACAGGAAGGGGTGAGTAGCTTGATGGATTCGAACCACTAACCATTCTGTTAGCAGCTGAGTGCTTAACAATTGCTCCACCAGGGCTTCTAAGCAAGCCACACGCACTGCTTGTGAGTCGATTCAGACTCATGGCAATCTTCTACTGGTTTCTGAAGCTGTAAATGTTAATGGGAATAGACTCTCCTGTTTCTTCCATGGAGGAGCTGGTGGATTTGAACCTCCAATCTTTCAGTTCACTATGCTACCAGCATCCTCAGAGCCCCTTAACAACACTAAAACTCAAACCACACACACACACACACCCCAAAAAAACAACTAACCAAATAGATGGGGGGAGATGCCTGTCGAAGTGATTGTGACTCCTAGTGACAAACTGCCCCACACTTTGCAGTCTGCCGGTCTTCTTTATAGAAGCAAACTGTCGCATCTCTTGAGGAGTATGCTGGTGTATTTGAACCACTAGCCTTTTGTTTATGGCAACCAAGGGCTTAACTGCTGTGCCACCAGGGCTCCCTTAGCAAAACTAAAAGAACTGCCAATTACTGAGCCCTTCCCAGGGCCGTGGGCTGTACTCACTCTCTCCTTTGCCACATTTAATCCTGTCAACCGTCCAATGAGGTAAGTGTGCTTTTTCCTTCCTCTGCAAAATGAGGACATTAATACGGTCCTCAAGGATTGGTGGGAGGATTGAAGGCCCGGATAAATGGTAACTTTCACTGCACAGTGAAGAGAGGGTAAGTGACTGCCAAGGTCATGGAGCTAGGGGTGAGGTGAGGCCAGGGCCCAGTCCTGGTCATCTCATTCCGTGTCATCTGGCCATGAACCCACATTATGTGGTGCTTGCTGATGAGAAAGGCCTCTGTGGGCCTTGGGTCAGAGTTAGAGCTGGTTCCTCCTGTTGGTCCACCCTTGGCAGGAGGTGATTGGCTTGCTTGGGCCAGTACTGGTCACAGGGACTGGGCAAGTTATCGACAATCAGGGCAGACTGGATCCTCAAGACTCAGGTCGTCTTCTCACTCATTTTTCTGACAAGGAAATGGAAAGTCCCCAGATGAATCCATAAAAGGAGTTCTGGTGGTATAGTGCCTTCTGTGTTGCAATGTGAGCCCAAAGGTCAGCAGTTTGGATCCACTAGCCCCACCAAGGAAGAAAGATGGGAAATCTCCTCCCGTAAAGGTATTGTTGTTGTGTGCCATCGAGTTGGAACAGACCCATAGCTGACCTTCCAGTGAATTTTCACAGTCACTTTCTCACATGGGAGGAGACTGTCCAGCCTTTTCTCACACAGCTGCTGGTGGATTCGAACCGCTCATCTTTAGGATTGCAGCACAGTTTACAGCCTCCGAAATCCAATGGAGGATCGTTAGGGGTTGAAATCGACCCCAGTGCATTTGGTTTGGTTTTGTAACAAATTAAGACTGTAGGATTCAAACCCAGGCCTGGAGATTCCTAGTGCTTTAATTTGGTATCTTCATATAGACCTGGGCATCGAGAAAGTCTGGAGCCAGGACAGAGTGAGAATCCTGGAAACTTCGGTGCTGTTTAGAGAGCCCTGGTGGTGCGGTGGTTAAGATATGCTAATCAAAAGGCTTGAACCCATCAGCTTCTCTGAGGGAGAAACACGAGGTAAAGACCAGACGGTCTGCGTTTGGCAAGATTGACAGCCTTGGAAGTCCTCTGGCAGTTCTGCTCTGCCTGCGGGGTCTCCAGTTGGGACTGACGTGGCAGTGGAAAGGTTAGGGCTGCACAGACAGTTGGCCATTCAAACCCACTCAGCTTACACTCAGGAAGAATGGGCTGGAGAATCAGTAAAGAATCAATGCACTGCCATAGTCTGGTCGGTTCACAGTGACCCTCTGTTGTGTTTCTGATGTGGTAAATTTTAAAGGAAGGAGACTGACCATCTGTCTCCCACGAGGGGATTGAAACACATTGGGCCTTTAAGTGAGCAGGGCAACAGCTATGGACTATCCACCAGAATTCCTTAACTGTGACTGTAGCTAAAAATCCTACGGAACAGTTCTGCACTGCAGTTCACCAAAGCAGCACAAGCTAGAATGGCCCCCACGGGTTTGGTTTTTACAAAACTTGGACGGCTGTGTCATTTTCCTCGTTTCCCTCATGTTCCTGCCTTGAGCGTGAGTTACCGTAAGTGCTTGTGGAACTGAATTGAGAGAATTCCTGTTCCCCAAGAATCCTTGTCCCCACCTTTAGGCTCACTCGCCATCTTATCAACCCCATCTTGTCTTCAGATATCGATGAATGCAGCTATTCCAGTTACCTCTGCCAGTACCGCTGTGCTAACGAGCCGGGCCGCTTCTCCTGCCACTGCCCGCAGGGCTACCAGCTGCTGGCCACACGCCTCTGCCAAGGTACAGGTTGTTGGTCGGGCTGGGCACGGTGATGTGAAGGGTTGGTGGTCTGACGCCTGGGTTCCAGCCCCTTTCCCATGGCACAGACATCGACGAGTGTGAGTCGGGCGAGCACCAGTGCTCCGAGACCCAGACCTGTGTCAACTATCACGGGGGCTACCGCTGCGTGGATACCAATCGCTGTGTGGAGCCCTACGTCCAGATGTCTGACAAGTGAGTCAACTCGACGCCGAGGTCTTACAAAAACTGCAACTCCCAGCGGATTCTGCGGCGGACCGGCGTCTATCCGGGCCGGAGAGTGCGCGCGAGGGCTGCTGGGAGTTGTAGTCCACCGTGACTAAAGCATGCGAACGGCTCTACTAGGAGTGGGAGGATCCATCGTGCCCTCCTTTAGGGGATAGGCAAAACGGGGAGCGGGGGCTAGGATCTCATTCGTGGCCCCCATCTTGGGGTCTCCAGCAGATGTCTGTGTCCGACCTCCAATCCCCTGTGCCGCGAGCAGCCTTCATCCATCGTGCACCGCTACATGAGCATCACCTCGGAGCGGAGCGTCCCCGCCGACGTGTTTCAGATCCAGGCAACGTCTGTCTACCCCGGCGCCTACAACGCCTTTCAGATCCGTGCGGGAAACTCGCAGGGGGACTTCTACATTCGGGTAAGAACTTTGTCAGGCCCATCCTTCCAAATGACGTGCAAAATCCACCATTTAATTCCAGGAAGCCCAACGTGGGAGTGTGGGTTATGCTGCCAGGCCCCGCCCCTTCTCCCGAAGCCCCGCCCCAGGCGGGACGTCCCCGGGTTACAGGGTCCAGACTTTGTGTTTAGACTGCCCCACCTCGGCCCCGCAGAGTAAAAACAGTGTCCAGAGCTGTGGCGCTGTTTGCACTGCGCTCTCCCACTGGACTGTGAGCTCCGAGTGCCGGGATCTGGCCTAATTCATGTAAATAGGTCTGCACTGTGTGGGTAGAAAGGTAGGGGTGACCTAAATTCCCAGGGTACAAACTACGGGCTTTGAATGCTGTTCTAAGGAGCCCCCCACACACACTCTGGAATTTGCAGCCCAGTGCAGGGTTCTCTACCGTCTCTGGCCTGTTTCTTTACTCAGGCTGGTGGAATGGGAGGTGCTCGGAGAGCCAGAGAAGGGTGGGTGAGGCACTGGACTTGACCAAGAGTGACAGGGACAGCAGGGTTAGTGGGTGCAGGGGCCCGGATCAGAGAATCGCTCTCTGCTGGTGGAGCTTTGAGGTGGGAAGCTGTGGTTTGCAGGGAGCCCGGGCGACAGCGGTCTGACCATGGCCCTTCTGCTGTGTTCAGCTGGAGAAAGGGTTTGTGTGGTGACAGCAGCTCTTGCTGGAGTGCTTGAAGGGGCATTTGCCTGTCCTAGGTCACCAAATGCCCTACCATTCTGGTCCTGAAGGCAGGCCAGCTGACAATGGCGGGAAGAGCACCACTGGGTGATGTCTTGGGGCAAGAACCCATATTCAGAAAGGGAGATGTGAGGGCCGGGCAGGTTCAAGAGTGATGTCATAGCCTGGCCTGGGTTCTCTCAATGGCTGACACGGGTGCCAGGCATGGGGGTCAGGAGGTGAACTGGGCTAGGATCCTGGTACACAGGGTGATGCAGTCAATGTGTCCCCACCCTGCAGCAAATCAACAACGTCAGCGCCATGCTGGTCCTCGCCCGGCCTGTGACGGGGCCCCGGGAGTATGTGCTGGACCTGGAGATGGTCACCATGAACTCGCTCATGAGCTACCGGGCCAGCTCTGTACTGAGACTCACCGTCTTCGTGGGGGCCTATACCTTCTGAGGGGGTGGGGGGACCTGCAGGAGTGGAGGGAGGAGCTTGGGGCTCAGGGAGGACTGTTCTGCTAAAAGGAGAGACACTGTTGTGAAGAGCAGAGAGAGAAAGGCAATAAAGGGAGAAAGAAGGAGTCCTGGTGGCTGAGGTAGGTGGATTAACCCTGTAGTGACCTCAGATGGGGGAAGGGAGGTGAAAGGGAGCTGTGTGCTTAGTTTGAGGTGTGCAGCCCCTAAGGCCAGGCTTGGTCCGTCGCCCTGCTAGGAGGATAGAGTGAAGCCTCAGCCCAGAGACTGACTTGGCTGATCGGCTAGGGAACCCTGGCTCTGGGAAGTGCCCGAAGGCACTGAGTTCCATTCCAGCTTGGCCCCAAAAAATCAATTTGGATGAGCCCACACTGGTCTTGTGCCTCAGTTTTCCCCCCATAAAACGAGGCCATTGGACTGTTAGTGTTTTTCAGTTCTTCTTTTTCAAGCTACAGAACTTATCAGGAAACATCATTCAGCTGGGACTCTTTGATGACAGCAGTTCGGCTCAGAGCTGTGGTGCCCGCTGAGTTCAGCTCCTTGGCAGCCTCAGTGGCCCCACACGGTGCTCCAGAATCCTGAGTAATTCAGTCTACAAACTGGCCTGGAGCTCCGGCGCCTCTCCATAACACAAGAGTGCTGCTGTGAACATTCAGTTTTTATCGTAGCCCAAAAGGTGCTGGTTAAAAGGCTGGGTAGCAGCCAAGTGGGCAGAAGGTAGGTGCAGGGTCCACCTTGTGGCACAGCTCAGGTCAGAGGACTGCAACTGCAGTAGAGCTGGGACAAGGTCCTGCTCAGAGCGGGTCCCAGATTTCTGCAGGAAGAGGGGAGATCAGGCCCTGTGCTGTGGGCAGCTCCACCCACCCCTTCGCTCCAAGCCTGTCCCATGCCCTCACCTCTGCAGCCGCCCACACTTGATGGTGCTCAGCAGCATCTCCTGCTCCTTGGGCGTGGCACAGGCATCATAGGCGGCCAGGAGGCTGGAGGGGGATGTGTTGGAATTACTGAGGGCTGACCATGGCTGGCTGAGCTAGCCCCATGGGCAAGGAGACACGAAGGGGTCCAGTGCCCACAGCCTAAGCTGGCGCTCAAGGCCCTGTGCTGTCCTTCCAGACTCCACCCCTGCAGCTGCACAGGGACAGAACCTGCAAAAGTGCCAGCAGCTCTCTGAATAAGATGCTCTGTCTAGGCGCTGCCTGGCCCAGCGAGATGGGCATCTTCCTGGCCTGGCACCCCGGCTCTTCTTCCAAGAGCTTGCTTTGCTCCTCCTGCCCATGGCCACTGTCTGACCTTTACTGGTTGTCTCTCTCAGGCCCCACCTGTGATCTGGAGTTTAGGTGGCTCAATCATTTCTGGGTCTCTATATCAACACAGAGCTGGGCCCCCCACAAAGCACTAATTGAGCTGAGTCCACGCGGGAGCCCGAGGGGGCTACCTGGCAGGGGTGCTGTACCGATCCACCAGAGCTGCCGCCTTCTCCCCACTCACTCCTCGAACCTGCATCAGCTGACGTGCAAACACCTCCCTGACAGATTGGGCCTGGGGGAGAATGTGGGAGACTGGGTCAGGGTTAGTCAGGGAGCAGCTACCTTTGGAGGAAACTGGGCACAGACAGTACCTTGTTCTTAATGGCTCCTGCGTTGAAGTCACTGAAGGTGAGGAGTGAGCAGAGAGGGTTTGGGGTGGGCCTGGCCCCTGGCTCACGGTCCCCGGGGGTTCCCCAGGGGCGGCTGCGTAGGGTATGTCCCTGAGGGGAAAGGGGACTGAGGCCAGGTCGAAGCTCCAGAGAAAAACTCTCAGCCAGTTCTTGTCTGATCTAGGCCTCAGTAGGTCAGCCTGAGAAATGGGGCTCTCACCCACACCACCACCCTCGGGTGAACAGGGAAGGCCTGGGTGGGGACACCTGCTCACCTCGTAGAGTCTCTGCAGGCCCCGTGTCAGGAGTGCCAGGTAGGCAGCTGTCTCCTTAATGTCTGCCGTGCGCTTCACAAAGAAGCCGTCGATGACCTGAGGAGGAGGCCGCCCTGCTCAGCCGCGTCCTCGGGCCCTGCCGGCCCGGCCCTCCCTCCATGTACCTGAGTGTTAGTGACAGCCTGCAGCAGGGTGCTCTCAGGGAGGCTGAGGTTGTGCACGGAGCCGTGTTCCTCCACCAGGTAGACCCGGCGCTCCAGGCCGCAGCGCTTCAGCCGGAACTAGGAAGACAGCAGAGGGACAGGGAGGGTCACAGATCTATGGGATGGTTCCACCGGTGGGTCTGCTCCTCATTCCCAGCCTCTGCACCCATCTCAAGGTAGGTGTTGCCCCTCTGTGGTCTGAGCTGTCCTTCCACCTCCCTCCTTCCTGTTGAGTCTTCAAGCCTTTTCCAGCCACACGTGGTCTCTGATGGTGAGGCTAGCCACCACTCTGCCCTCCTTTAGATGCGAGGCTGCAGGCTTGGCTGCCCAGGGGTCTTTACCACGCCCCTCTGGCAAGAAAGAGCATTCTGCCTGCCTGTGCACACTGGCTTGCCTGGGTAGCCGCAGGGTCTGGGCCCAGGGATGTTCTGGGGCTCTGCCCCAAAGAGGCCACCCAGAAGACCTCTGGATTCCTCTGGGCTAAGGAGGTGCCCTGGAGCCATGGGCATTTCTGGGGAAAGGGAGCAGAGGCTGGGGGCACGGATGAGGCCAGTGCGCGAACCTTCTGCTCTCGGAAGCGGCCGTCGATGATGCTGCTGCACAGGTCGTCCAGCCGCTTGCGCTCCACAATGTGGTCCAGCACGAGCTCGCCAGGCCTCGCTGCCAAGGGGCCAAGCAGCGTCATGTGGTTCATGTTCCCCACCGTGCTGTGCCTGCCTCTGATGCCTGCCCACCTCGGGCCCCTTACCAGGATCTCTGGGGCTGGTCTCCCGTGCTACCCACACAAAGTCCCCAACATGCAGCTTGCGGACCATATAGTTCACGTGCAGCCGCTGCAGCTCTCGTAGCAGCTCCGGCCTGTGCCCAGCCCTGGAGTTTAGAGGCGGGAGTCCAGGTCAGGGAAGGCTGGGAATCCCCAGCAGTGTCTTTTCTGCGGCTCCCCGCCCCCCGAGCTCTGCTCACCCCGTGGCCTCGCTGACATCCACACACAGCAGCACCCTGTACTCGCCGGGCCCCAGCTCCATGGGTGGCTGCTGGATGCCCGCTTCACTGGTGCTACTGCAAATGGAGAGAATGGTGGGTGTGAGGCAAGAACCCCCAGTGCCAAGGTGGCTCCCCCTTCCCCCTGCAGGCAGTGGAGAGCTAACTATAGGTGTGGACACAGGAGTGGGGTGCTGGCCTCATTTCAGGGAGCCCTCTTGCATGCCCCCCAGTCCCCACTTACGGCTCAGCTGAGGTTGCTCCTGGCACTGCTGGCTCCTCCCCGGGGGGCTCCTTGGGCCCTGTGCCCACATCCAGCGTGTTCAGGCCCTCCGACTCGGCCAGCTTCTGGGCCAGCTCCAGACCCTCCGGGGTGAGTGAGTACCTGGGAGTGGAGGTGAATCCAGGTCTCCTGCCTGCTCCCCGGGACGCTGGCTGTGCCGCCCCACTGGGGACTGTACAAACAGGCTCAGCTCCCCGCCGCCCCATCTAAGAATATTCACTTACCCTGGCTCTGTCCAACACTGTTTCTTGGGTCTGCACACCCAGGACTTTCCTTCCTTATTCAAGCTGCTCTCTCCTCCCCATTCCTAGAAATACCTTTCCACATCCTACTCGGTGAATCCTACTCCTTTCATCCAAAACCTTCTCGATAACCAGAGGCACTTCTCCCTCGCAGGCCTGCCTTTGTCTGGTAGACCCTCTAGGTATCCCAATAGTTTGAAACCTGGGTGACTGGAAGTCACTTCCGTAATACCAGGCTTGCTCCCCTTCCCCAGCACCCTCAGCCCTGCACTTGGCCCCACCTGGCTGGCTGGTGTGTTCTGAGGATAAGGTTCCGGTGGAGGAGGGTTCGGAGGGCTGGCCAAGGCTGAGTACTCCTCACGGTCACCTGTCAACAGGGGCAGAGGTCCTCAGCCACTGGTGCCATGGTGTCCCCAAGACAGGCCCCATTCCAGGGCCATGCCCGAGGAGGACAGTGTTGGGGGCTGAAGGTCAAACCTAGAGCCTCTAGTCCTGTCTTCCCTGCTTCAGAGCTCACCGTGGGGGCCCCATGGGCACATCTTTGAAGCAGTTCCTCCTTAGTCAGGAAGCTGCAGCCACTAGGATTCTGAAATCAAGGCAAAATGACAGCACAGGTTGGGTGCCTGGTCCGTGCTCACACATCCTCAGACACCCGGCCTCTCCTCACCCAGGCTGGCCCTAATAGGTGGCTGATTTTTACCACCTGGTCTCAGCCAGCTTTCTCGGAGGGTTGGGTCCCTGGGTGCTTACCAGGTGCTCGCGGTAGAGCAGGAGCAACACAGCTCGGGCTCCTGAGTGCCGGGCCGGCCAGTAGCTGCCAGGACCTCTGGCTTTGGGCCGGGATAGAGCCTAAAAAGTACAGAGGGGCTCTGAACAGGAAAGCCAGCCGAATGGCTGGAACAGGGACTCCTAGATTCGGGTTCTGTTTCAACCGGCTTGGGAGAAATCACTCAGCTGCCTCACTCTCCTTATCTGCAAATGGGCCAAGTGGTCAGCCAATCTATTGCAGAATTAGGATGACACACTGGGGTGAAGGAAGATAGGGCTGTCCACCTCAACCTCGGTTCTCCAGGACCACCCCCCCCCCAGGCTGCAAAACTCAGGAACAACTTAATAGGTGGAGCCCCCCCTTACATGTCTCAATGGTCTGACTCTCCTCACAACTGTGTGGTCAACATTCCCATCCACAGATGAGAAAACAGAGTCTCAAAATAAACCACTTGTCAGACCAGGTATCACTGATGACACTAACTGGACCTCAAATCAAAACCTGTTGGCTCCAAGTGAGTATCAATTCACGGGAAGTCTCCATCCGGCTTCCCACGTGGAGACTGTCTCATCAGTTGAAGTGGCCAACCTTTGGTGGGCAGCCCAACACAAAACATGCTACGGCCCTTCTCTGGTCCAGGCCTGCTTAATTCCAAACCTTCCATAAAACCCCACAAAGCCACGCCTCGATAACAGAAAATCACCCTTCGGGTACCCCCATCTCCCCTGTCACTCTCTCTTGTTCTGCGCTTACGGGCAGGGAAGGGTCCTGAGCTTCGCCACGTGGGACTGAACTCTTCTCTGCAGGTGATGAGACCGCGGCATGATCACCTGTGGGGAAAGAAGAAAAGTCACCCCTGGGCCACACTCCGCACTCTAGTCTGGGTTGGGACGTAGCCTAATCAAGCGGTGCAGGAGACCGGTGAGGCTCGAGGTTAAATAACCAGGCCGGCAGCAGTTGGGCGCTTGAAGGACCGGTATACGAGGTGAGCACGAACGCTGCACCCGGTGGACAGAGGAAGGCTGACCCTCGCCGCAGTGCTCACCGCCCGAGGCTCGATGCTGCTGCAGCCGCTCGTCCAGCATCCGGCAGAGCCCGTCTCCGAAGTGCTGGAGGATCTTGGCTTCCTTCCCGCTGCGCAGGGGCAGCGGGTACCGCCGGAGGGAGCGCAGCGCCTGCGGGGGCAGCGGATGCGGTCAGGCTGGCCGTGGCGTCCAGCGCCCGTCCGGACGGCCAGGGCCCCACCTTCTGAAACACGAAGCGAGTGCGGCGCCCCCTGCTGGTCGCCTCGTCCCGCCATTCGGTCAGCCAGCGCACGAAGAGCGGGTTGGGGCAGACCGGCAACGGGCGCTTCCGGCCCAGGCGAACCGGCGCCGCCATTCGTCCCGGAGCCGGGTCCTCGGGCGCGCTTCGTACCGGCGCGTCTGGGACAATTCCAACCTTGGGGGGGGCGGGACTCTACAATGACGTGACCCCCTGGGGCACTAACTAGAGGCCCACTTGCCGGATCCCACTGTCCTAAGTGGCTGATTAGAACTCTACGGCTCCGAACCCGCACCCCACCCAGGCCCTGGGAGCCTAGACTCCGCCCCTCCCTCCTAGCGCAGACAGAAGAGAGGGGCCCTCTCTGCAAGTGAGGGGAACACTCCCACAGTGCCTCCTGTGGCTGGGAGGCCAGAACGCAGAAGTGTTTTAACTGCGCGATTTGAGCTCAGCGTCTCTAATAAGGGTCTTGCTGTCGGTTTCAGCTTCACCTTTGCAGAGCAATCTGGGGAGTGGGAGTGGGCTTGAAAAGAGCCCAGGAGTGCCAAATGCACGCAGGTTTACTTGCGAGAGAGATATATAGGTACCCGAAATGACCCAAGATTGAGGCAGGAAGGATTGGAGGATCTTCGCAGGAAATGGTGATCACGACCTGCAAAATATGGTCGATCAGGGAATGCAGAGTCGGGAACAGGCAAAGAATACTGGAAGCGAGGAGGATGCGGCAGTCATTCTGGGAGGAAAGGGCCTCTAAGGAACGGTGATGGACATCCAGCGAGATAAGGCACTTGGTTGCACAGGCGGAGCAAGTAAGGGTAAGAAGCTCAGAGATAGAAGGAGAGCGCTTTTCAGTTTCCATAATTTATGAATAATCTTCAGGGGGAGAAACTGAAAATGGGAATCCCGCATAGTGGCCCTAAATGGAAGCAAAGGTGAGTGTACAGATTTGGAAAGAGGGTCTCGCTTTGGGCTTGGAGCAGCCCTGAGGGCCTTAGCAGTCATTCCGGAAGTCCAGAGTGTCAGCTCTCAGTCCTGCAAAGGAACTGCAGACCCCGCCCAAAAACCCCACTTCGCATCCCCCTAGCCGGCTCCGGCCTCCCGCCCGACACCGCCTTATAAGGAGCCTGAGCCGGCGTGTAGCCTGGCTCCGCCCCCTCCAGGCTCATGTCCTAATAAGGACATCTAGGGCATCCTGTGGCTGGGGGCGGGCGGGAGCGCGTCTCCAGGGTAACGGCGAAGTCCCCCTCCCCCTCTCTGTTGCTCTTGGAAACAGGAGGTTCGAAAAAAGTGGAACCAGAGTTCCTTCTGACTGAGCCACAATTAAGGGGTGAGAGTCGAGCTCTGGCTCCCACCTAGGGCTCCCGGCTCCCGGTAGCTCAGCTGGTGGACCGTGAGCGGGGATGCCGTTGTCCTTGACTACAACCCCCAGCATGCTCTGCGAGGTACCCCAATCCCGAGTTCCCTGGGTCGTGAAGATGAGCTCCCAACACTTAATACTTGGTTTATGGCAACAAGGCTACCACCAGTTTTGTCTCTGGTTATGCCTCAGAGATGCTTGCGAGCCTTGTCTTCTCATCTTGCAGAGGGTGAGGACGTGGTCATTGTTCGAGGCCAGCAAAGTCTTCCTGGAATCTTCCACCACAAATATATTCTCACAGTTTTGCAGATTATTAATCATCTACTTGGCTATCAACCTAAACAAGGTTAAAATCTGGTTTGATATAAATTTTCACGCTGATGAATAAAAGATACATAAAAGAATTCTTTGTCGAAATTCACAAACCCTTGCCTTCTTTATTGCATTGAGTGAATCACTACCAGACATCTTTAAACAAAGATAAAGCCTTCCTGGCAGTGTGTATGTGTTGATTATTTAAAGTTACATAAAGCCGTTTTTGAAGAAACAGCGGTAGTATGGTATATAGGACTGTCAGTGAAAAGGTTATTGAGAATAGCCTTCTCTTGGATGTTTTTCTTGTCTAGGGACTGAATTCTAGGTCAGTGGTTGCTTTAATTCTAGAAAGCAGAATGCTAACCCCACTTAAAATCTTGAGAGTAAAGGATCCAGAAAAAAGCCAAAATGAATACTAGAAAAACGTCTGGCTCAAAGGTGAAGGGCTGTAAAATCAGGGTTCATTTTTGTGTCATCCTTAAGGTGAGTCAGGGCCTACAGCTCAGCGCAGAGGTTTTTCCTGGGAATTTACACCAATGAGCGCGCTCTCCGTGCCCTTCGCCCCAGCCCCTGGTTGCTTCGACTACATTTCCCAGCATGCAGTGCGGAGCAGGGCGACCAATCTCCGTTACCCCGAGAGCTCAGAGACGGCGCAAGAGCTCCGGACTTCATTTCCCGTCGGCCCGCGGGGAGAGCGCCGGAAGCCCGCCCCGCCCCTCATTGTGCGGCTCATACTAAACGGAAGGGGCCGGGAGAGGCCCCGTTCAGTCGGATCTGGGCAGCAGCTGCGGCGGCTCTTGTCTTCTCTCGCTCTTTTTGCCATATCCCTTTTGCTTCCGGAAACATGGTGAGCGGCCGGCCACGGCGCCCAGGGGAAGCGGGTGCGGGTCGGTCCTCTGCGCACGGGAGGAGATGGGGGAACGACGTCGGCACCCCCCTCCCCCAGCGCTGCGGGCGGGACGAGGGTCTCGTGCCGAGGGGCGGGCGGTGCCGGGACGCGCGTGCGCGCCCGCGGGCGCCTGGAGGGCCGTCTCGGACGTCGTTCGCGCGCCCCCTGGCCTCCCTTCCCCCACCTCTCTGATGCGCCCGCGCGGACACCGGCCGTGGGGGAGGGGTCGAGGGCGCGCGCCCGCCGCTCGCCCCTTGAAGCTGCAGCGGGGCCGGGAGCTAGTGCGTTCACGGGGCGCGCGCCCGGTGGGAACACGCGGTGTTCGAGCCTGGCCGGGGTGGGGTGTGCGGCGAGGGAGAAGCGCGCAAGCCGTCTTGGCGCGCGCGCCCCACCCAAGCGCTGTTCCTGTCTGAGCGTCATCCTCCCTCGGCAGCAGCCGGGTCTTAGTGGCGAGCAGGTGGCGGTGATGCCCGCGCCCTGGAGGGGCCGGCAGGATGCTGGAGCGCCGCAGTCCGGGTGGGGCCGTAGGCACCCAGAGTGGCCACTTGCACCGCGCCGCACGGACTGGGCGCCCGCGCGGGAGGCCACGGCCCGGCCCGGCGTCGAGCGCATCCACAAAGCGAGCCGGGTCCGCGCGGCCTCGCATGGAACGGCGCTGTCCGCGGCGCGTGCGCACACGCGCGGGCCAGGCTGCGGGGCCCGAGCCCTGGACGAGTGGAGCCATCGGGCCTTCCCGGATGGGGCCCGAGGGTGGAGCCGAGTTTAGGGAAGTGACCCAGGCGGGCAACGCCCGGAAACCACTCGTCCCTTGTGTTGGGCCCGAGGACTTGAGAACTGAAGATTGTGTAACTGCCCAGGCGCTTGCCCGCAGCAGAGGGGCCCGCAGCCCAGCGCCTGCAGGGGGACACTGGGGCTTGAGTCCCTCGAGGCATTGGTGCCTCTAGGGGAGGGGGCCGAGCTGTCGCCTTTCCCCGCCCACTCCGGAAGCGACGGAGTCACGTGGCCGGCTTCCTCTGCAGTTCCGGGGTTGGGGGGGGATGTGCCGAGCTCAGTGGGTTGTCGCTCCTTCTCTTGTTTGGGCCTTTCCCCCCAGCTGGACACTTCCCAGTGCACGTTTAACGATCTTCGGAGGACCCTGGACACTAGGGTTTGGCCTGTTAACCCCTGTCCTCAACCTTTGAGGCCCTGCACCATTCCCGGAAGGCAAGGTGTTGTCAGGGATGAACCATCATTGTAGTGGTGATTCTTCCTCTGGGTAAGAGCGCCAGCAGGAAGGACTATTTGTCTAAAAGCGACATGGAAGGGACGTTTCGGATAAACCTGCTGGAACCTTAGATCTTGTCTGGCGTAGAGGGCTTTAGTAGCTGCTTTTCTAAAGTGAAAGCCCATGAGTTGAGGGATGCAGGCTGCCCTCCAGAGTCTTTAAGTCCACATTTCAACCCAAGGACCGAGATTGAGTATTGTATGTACTGTGCGAGACCATGCAGAAATTCAAGGTTCACATGTCAGTGGAGGTTCTCCTTTTGTATCTTGTTCTCTATCCTGCAAGATGGGATATTGAGCTCGGTGATCACAGATCTCTTCTGTGGCTGTCAGTCTGGACTCTGTTCCATCTCATCATTTGACAGGGTCTGGGGTGTGATCTTCAGTTTGGGAAGGACTTAAAGACCTTCTAGGACGTGGGGCAGTGGGCTGTGCTTGTGGTGTGAGGGGTTTCTGATGCAGAAGCAAAATTAAGACTTGCAGAGTCCCGGGAACGCTGAGGGATGTGTGTCTCATCTCCCAGGCCTCCGGTGTGGCTGTCTCTGATGGCGTCATCAAGGTGTTCAATGACATGAAGGTGCGCAAATCATCGACACCAGAGGAGGTGAAGAAGCGCAAGAAGGCGGTGCTCTTCTGCCTGAGCGAGGACAAAAAGAACATCATCCTGGAGGAGGGCAAGGAGATTCTGGTTGGGGATGTCGGCCAGACTGTGGATGACCCCTATGCCACCTTTGTCAAGATGCTGCCGGACAAAGACTGCCGCTACGCCCTGTATGATGCAACCTATGAGACCAAGGAGAGCAAGAAGGAGGACCTGGTGTTTATCTTTTGGTGAGCTCCTGTTCCGACACTTACCTGTCACCTGCCTTAGCCACCTTTCTCAGAGTGGGCACTTCTGTGACTCAGTGTCAGCCACTGGTATCTGTTTAGGAGGGGTAACTGTCCCAAGCTCTTATCTGTTGATTGGGCCTGTCAGAGGCCATCCCAAACGTTTCTCCATTGAGAAGGGTCCTTCATTGCTCCATAGCAGTTGCTCAACTGGAGAAAAGGATTGTAATTTTCCTCACTCTTTCCTTCAGGGCCCCTGAGTGTGCACCCCTTAAGAGCAAAATGATCTATGCTAGCTCCAAGGATGCCATCAAGAAGAAGCTGACAGGTAAGGACCAGAAAGAGGGCGCCACATGCCTTCTTCTTGGGGTGGTGTACAGAGTCTGACGGAAGAGGTCCTCCCAACCCCTCCCCTCCCTGCTGGAAGTCAACCTTGCCTCTGTCCATCTGCTAGGATTGGCTCCTTCCCAGACACAGCCCCACTCCCTCGGTGCTTCTGCTTACGGTCACTTCCCCTTTGTTCTCACAGGGATCAAGCATGAATTACAAGCAAACTGCTATGAGGAGGTCAAGGACCGCTGCACCCTGGCAGAGAAACTGGGGGGCAGTGCTGTCATCTCCCTGGAGGGCAAGCCCTTGTGAGCCCCTTCAGCCCCCTGCCTGGAGCATCTGGCAGCCTCAGACCTGCCTGTGGGGGCTGCAGGCTGCCCCCTTCCTGCCAGACCGGAGAGGCTGGGGGGATCC